GGGGAGAACTTTACGGGACAAGTGTTAGTGTGTCACTTGTGTTTGCCTCTTCGTGAGGTTGTTCTCTCGATATTTTGTACTCTCTTTTTATATAGTGGATTGCTCATCTCCGCCTGTGGACGTAGGTCAGTTGACCGAACCACGTTAAATATTTGTGTTCGTTTGGTAGATTTCTCTTTTGTTGTCTGATTTATCTTCGTTGAAAGTTTGCTTTACTAGCTTCCGCATGACACCTGACTTTTTTCGATCATAACAGTGGTATCAGAGTCTTGGTTATTTATCCGGGTTGTTACGGAATGGAGGCGAATATGAGCAAGATGGTATGTTTAAATGGGAGAAATTATAATGTTTGGAGAAGCAAGATGAAAGATTTGTTGTTCGTGAAGAAGATGCATCTACCCATTTTTTCAGTTCATAAACCCGAGAGTATATCTGATGAAGATTGGGATTTTGAGCACCAACAAGTATGTGGATATATACGGCAATGGGTTGAAGATAATGTTCGCAACCATATTGTGAACGAGATACATGCGAGATCATTGTGGGAAAAGCTAGAGACTCTTTATGCTTCAAAAACTGGGAACAACAAGTTGTTTTTGCTAAAGCAATTGATGACCTTTAAATATAAGGAAGGCAGCCCTGTCCTTGATCACATACGATTTTCAGGGCATCCTTGATCAGCTGTCTGGAATGGGATTTAATTTTGATGATGAGATACAAGGACTTTGGCTTCTTAATACTTTACCAGACTCTTGGGAAACTCTTCGTGTTTCTTTGACAAATTCAACTCCTGGAGGTAAGGTGACCATGGAATATGCCAAGAGTGGTGTGTTGAACGAGGAAGTAAGGAGAAAATCTCAGGGTTCGTCCTCACAAACAGATATCTTGGTTACAGAAGACCGGGGGAGAGATAGAACAAGAGGCTCGTGGAATAGAGGTAAAAGTAGAAGTAAGTCAAGGTCCAAATACCATAATATTATATGCAACCTCTGTGGCAAGAAAGGACATATCAAAAGGTTTTCCCGCAAGTTGTTGCAAGACATTAGAGAAGGAAAGAAAGTTAAAAATAGCGAGAACAATGTTGCTGCTATTGTTCGAGATGACCTTCTTTTTGCTTATGATGAAAATGTCATCAATTAGGTATCCCATGAGACGAGCTGGATAGTAGATTCTGGAGCTACCTTACATGTCACACCAAGAAAAGACTTTTTCTCATCTTATACTCCTGTTGATTCTGGAGTGTTAAAGATGGGCAATGCCAGTGAAGTTAAGGTGTTTGGGGTTGGCATAGTTTGTTTGAAAACTAATAATGGTTCAACGTTAGTTTTTCAAGATGTCAAGCATGCTCCAGACTTTCCTTTCAATTTGATCTCCGCAAGAAGATTAGACGATGAAGGTTACCATAATCCCCTCTTTAATGGCCAATGGAAGTTCACTAAGGGCTCGTTAGTAGTGGCTCGAGGAGTCAAGTCTGGTCATTTATATGTGACACAGGGCTCTATTCTTAATGACTCCATAAATCTAGTGGAAAGTGACACTTTATCAGAATTGTGGCACAGAAGATTGAGTCATATGATCGAGAGGGGTTTACGTGTTTGGCTAAGAAAAGTTTGCTTTCTTGAGTGAAACAAGCAAAACTAAAAAGGTGTATCCATTGTTAGCTGGCAAATAGAAAAGGGTTTCCTTTCATAGCCATCCTCCCTCAAGAAAGCCCAATTTATTGGAGCTAGTACACTCTGATTTGTGTGGTCCTTTTAAAGTAAAGTCAAAAGGTGGTGCACTTTACTTTGTGACCTTCATTGATGATCATTCTCGTAAGCGTTGGGTGTATCCTTTGAAATCTAAAGATCAAACACTTGGCGTGTTTAAGGAATTTCAGGCCTTAGCTGAGAGACAGACGGGGAAGAAATTAAAATGTATTCGCATTGACAATGGTGGTGAATATTGTGGTCCCTTTGATAACTATTGCAAGGAACAAGGAATTCGTCATCAGAAAACTCCGCCCAAGACGCCTCAATTGAATGGTTTGGCAAAGAGGATGAATAGAACTCTAGTTGAGAGAATTAGATGCTTGCTTTCAGAAGCTAAACTTCCAAATACATTTTGGGCGGAAGCACTTAACACTGTTGCCTATGTTATCAATTTGTCTCCTGTTGTTGCTTTGGATGGTGATGTCCCAAACAGAGTTTGGTTTGCCAAAGATGTTTCTTATGATCACCTGAGAGTTTTTGGGTGTAAAGCTTATGTGCATGTTCCTAAAGATGAAAGATCGAAACTGGATGTCAAAACTAAGCAGTGCATCTTTATTGGTTATGGTCAAGATGAGTTTGGGTATCGTTTTTACAATCCAGTTGACAATAAACTTATTAGAAGTCGTGATACAATATTCTTTGAAGACCAGACTATTGAAGATATTGACAAAGCTGAGAAGATAGATTCTCAGAGTAATGAGAGCTTAGTTGATATTGATCCAGTTTCTATTGCTAAGGCACCTATTGCACATGAAGGAACCCAAGACAATAATGAAGATAGTGATCAAGATCAAAATGATCATCATGGTGTAGATGTTATGGATGCTCCAGTTAATGAAGTAGTGGTTGATCAACAACCAATTCCTGCTCAGGTAACTACTTCGAATGCTCCTGAAACCTCTCTTAGAAGATCTACAAGGGAGAAGCAAAAATCCATGCGCTATCCTCCTAATGAGTATGTACTTTTGACTGACATGGGAGAACCTGAGAATTATGATAAAGCCATGCAACATAATCACAAAGATCATTGGATTGAAGCGATGAATGAGATGAAGTCACTCCATGAGAATGGCACATATGAGTTAGTGAAATTGCCGAAAGGTAAGAGAGCTTTATCTAACAAATGGATATTCAGAACAAAGCAAGATAACCATACCTCTGCGCCTAGATACAAGGTGAGGTTAGTTGTTAAAGATTTTGGCCAGAAGAAAGGAGTTGACTTTGATGAATTTTTCTCCCCTGTTGTGAAGATGTCTTCTATTCGTGTGGTTCTAGGCTTAGCTGCAAGTCTAGATTTAGAGGTTGAGTAGATGGATGTCAAGACTGCTTTTCTTCATGGTGATTTAAATGAGGAGATTTATATGGAGCAGCCTGAGGACTTCGTAGTTAAGCTTGCAGATAAGCATGCGTATTGCAGAAAATTGGCAGGCATGAAGCCTGTCAATAGTTCCTCTACTTGAAGACACATTTGGCCCCTTGGCTGGAGGGGGAGTTTGTTGGGCACATGCGCATGTTGTCCAGCCAAAGGCCCGATGGCCTAATCCTATTCTCTTTTGGTTTCCATTCCTATTTGGAATTGGATTCGGTTTATTCCTATTTTGAGTGGGTTTTGGCTTTAAGAGAAAGCACCACTCATGATCTATAAATAGGACAACCTTGGAGAATTATTCTATGCTTATTGATACAAGTCTTTGAAAGACTTAAGCACATAAGAGTGGTTTTTGAGAGAGCTTTCATCAAGAGAGAAGAGAGAAGAAAAGTATTTGTTTTGCTGCAGATTTTTATTCCGACCAGCCAACTATAAATCAAGTTTTCTGATTCGTCAACCGTTGGTTCGGGCTAAAATTTTGACTGAGTGTTCGTAACATCTTGGTGTTTGATCTGAACGGTGGAGATCATATTTGGAGGCCCGTAGCATCTGATTTCGAGCCTCGAACAGCAGCTTCATTTTTGTGGATTCTCCTCTTTCTTCAATTGATTAGTTGTTGCTCTTGTTGTTATTGTTGCTCCGTGTTTGGCACTTGTTGTGTAGCCAATTTGGAGAACTTTTGTAATCCTGTTATTTTTATAGTGGAGTTTTTGGATCTTTGTGATCCCGTGATTTTTACCTTCGATTTGAAGGGTTTTCCACGTTAAAATTTGGTGTTCTTTATATTCTTTATTTTCGGGTTTGCCTCTTCCTCGACATAACAAGTGGTATCAGAGCAAGGTTCATCTTGGCAGGTTCAGTTCTAGCCGCAACATATTTGACGATAATCGTGATTTTTGTCTGAGAAATTTGACCGGAGTGCTACGCACGTTGGGACAAACTTTGTGGCGGAGATTTGGAGATGCGACCTATTGAAGGCTATGTGAAGAAGGTGGATCAAGTTTATTTTGTCAGAAAATTCAGGCCAAGGGGGAGAATTGTTAGGTGTTTGTCCAGATTTTCTTACCATAATTGGTTTTCCTATCTCATGAAAGAAAGGACAACATATTTACCATAATTGGGTTTTTCTTTTCCTAGAAGGAAAATATAATTCTTCCATATTTGGCTAGTCCCTTTTCTTGTAGGAAAAAGTTTGGAGTTCTATAAATTGAAGATCCGTCCTTCTCATTCAGTAGCATCCACAATGTAGCCATAGGGGGCTTGAGAGTCGTGTTTAGGGGGAGAACTTTACGGGATAAGTGTTAGTGTGTCACTTGTGTTTGCCTCTTCGTGAGGTTGTTCTCTCGATATTTTGTACTCTCTTTTTATATAGTGGATTGCTTATCTCCACCTGTGGACGTAGGTCAGTTAAACGAACCACGTTAAATGTTTGTGTCTCGTTTGGTAGATTTCTCTTTTGTTGTCTGATTTATCGTCGTTGAAGGTTTGCTTTACTAGTTTCCGCATGACACCTGACTTTTTTCGGTCCTAACAATACCTAACACCTTTGGACTATATTTGAAGTCATGCTCAGCTCAATTCACTGCTAGAGGAACGAATATTTCAATAATATTGAACTAATGAGCTGAACTGAAGTGACATGAACAATAAGAATTAACATAATCGATCCTAACTTGTTTGAGATTAAGGTATTATTGTTGTTGTCATTGTTGTGGCATTTATGTACTTAGCTCAAGTCAATTAGTTTTCTCAAGTACAAAAAGATGCATTATGATAGGTACAAGGAATTAAGTTTCCATTCTCCAATTGGAATTAAGTTACTGTTACTTTTCGGTAGAGTTAATACTAATGCTTAATTTCAGGTCTATAGAGAAGCAAAATGCCCTTGAGCTGTGGGAAAAGATTGAATAAAAGTGAATACTCTTCTAGCTTTATGAATTTCAGACATGCCATTGAGGGGTTTGTCCCCATTGCTGGCTTCTTCAACTTTCAGAAGAAGCAAGAATTTCCTATTCGGCCTAATTCTGGAAAACAATAAGCAAAACTAAAAAAAATCTGGTCCTATAACTCTACTACATTTTCCTCCATAGGAAAAAAAAAAACGAAAGGCATTTTCTGGTCCCCTGAGATGAGGGTGCAGGGAGATGTACCCAAACAAAATAAAAGAATGAAAGGCCGCTTTGCGTTGGATGCTCTTTAACCATGATGCCTCTGTTGTTGTCTGGGAGAGCGTCGAAGCTTGCTTCTTCTCCAGAGCATTATTTGATCTCTCATAATTCTTCTAAATTAACGCCTATGATCTTTTCTATCTGTGCGATACAATGAAGTAATATCTATTATTATTTACATGACTGAAATAGAATTTGAGCCTGTGTTGGCTTCTTTTGCTGTGCCTAATTCCAGCATATCTGCTGTTGCAGAATGAGGCTTGACAGAAGTATCTAAGTTGTGATGATTCCCTTCATGTCGTGCTTCGAAAGACCAAACGAGGACTAATGCTACCATTACAACTGAGAGGAAAACAAGTCCTCCCCATACCAAATGCGCGCTTTTCTTCAATGGTTTGCAATGTTTGTGAATGATATCGTCGAATGCATTAAATACTGTGTCACACTGAGTTAGGTTCTCCATTCCAGGGTACGCGTCGAGGATTTTCTGGAGAGCAATTGTGTATGCCTCCACATTGTTGAATTCTCTAGGGGAGACCATCACTCCTCCCTTGCAGTTTGGATCAGTGCATGTCAACATCCTTAAGAACTTCATCAAAGAAAAGGAGGGTTCAGATCAAAGGTAACGGAGAACTAACTCATGATGCTGATTATGGGGCCAATTTCATTTATAATCACTCAACTCTATTCGTAGAGTCACAGAACTATAGTAGGTAAAGTTCAATTGACGAGAAAAAATTGTGATTTTAGTGTTATAGTAGTGGATAAAGTTCAGTAATTACAATTCGTGATCATGTGAAAACTCATAGAATTTTGTACTTACCCCAGGGAGATCCCCTATTCGAATTGTAGTAGATGAACAGTTTCGTGGCTGGTAGTTGTATTCTGGTGGACCGGAGAAAGGATTGCAGATTTGTGCAACATTTCCATAATCTGTAGATAACCTTTGGTTCACCTGCAGTAATCCAAGATTCATAAAATAAAATGGAATCTTTATTGACTCATAAAACAAAAGAGTTACCAAAGTAAAAGTGAAGAATTAGGCCTTGGTAAGTGTTCAGTCATGGCCTAATTAGTCCGCATTTGATAGTGAAATCAAAATTAATCTAAGAAATAATTAATAAGAATTTTTCAAAGATTACCTCGTTAACTATTCGATGTACCCCTTCACTGACATCATAAAGGACTGATTCAGCTGAAACCAATTCATCACAGGGAAGAATTGAGCTCAAACTGCTGTTGTAGGGATCTGACTGGAAATTTTCTAGTGCAGTGCATGTATCTCCAGCAAAGCTGCAAAAAATCATTTTCTATAACTAATTAGAATCTAAAGTAAATACAGTTTGGTAATGAAATAAATATATATATATATATATATATATATATATATATATATATATATATATATCAGCTAAGAATTGGTTGAGAATAGTTTTTCATACTTGTCTAAGAAGTAATAAATGCCAAAAAGAAACCAACACAGAGTTGTAAAGATCCAACACAATGTAATGAGCCTGCATTCAATCACAAGAATGTATCAGAATTTTGTACAGTACAGTATTTTTGTCTTTTATTAGATTTTGACATAACATACTTACAAGTTAAGGGTTCTTCTAAATTTGAGTATTCCAAATACTGCAATTAAAAAACTCACACCATTAGTAGTCAGTGTACTTAACCAATGGCAAAATATAAAAAAAATCAAACTAGATAGAGTTTACCTGATAGGGCAATTACAGCAACCAAGTTTAGAGAAATAACCACTGTAGTTACTATGTACCTGTGCACGGATTCTGATTATTTTAGCAGTAAATTCTGAATACTGAATGATTAAACAAATTAAGGAGAGAGACTTACACTATCTTGAGAAGTTTCTCGATTAATCGCCTATTTTTTCTGGCTTCCCTATGTATATCATCAGCCTGTCTGTCAAGACTTGTAGAGGTAGGAATCAAGAAGTCAGCAGCTTCTTTACCTAAATCAGTCCCTTTTAAGCCATTATTCATTTCTTTCATGGCTTCAGTTGTAGTGTAAATGGTCTCTGATGCCCCATCTGCTGTATCTATTATAATGTCCACTACTGTATCAGTTCTTGAATGAAACTTTGCGTTCCCTCCTAGAACAAGGCCTGTTGCTGTTCTGTGAAAATTGTAAAAGGTGTTTCAGTTGCTTTAACCTTGCATACTAGTATACTGCTCCGTCCGTTTTAATTTATGTGAACTTATTTCTTTTTTAGTCAGTGTCAAAAAATGACCTCTTTCCATATATGGAAACAATTTATCTTTATTCAGTAATTTATAGCCACACAAAATATATGTGCCTCATTTTCACAACTTCAAAAGTCTTCTCTTTAATTTTTTTAAAACTTCGTGTCCAGTTAAATAGGTTCACATAAATTGAAATGGAAGGAATAGTATTCAAGAAATAAACCATCCCTCTGGAGAATGACCTTTTCTTATTACTCTCTCCATCTGGCACCATTCGAATTTCGAGAGTCAAATTAGTTTTTCTTTGACCATAAATTTCTTATATGCCTTTTAAATATTTGAAATTTTTACCTATTGTGACTTATAGTAATTTTTAGTTAGTTTTCAAATATATAAATTTTATTTCAAAAAACTTAAAGATTCTAATATGAATTCACGATCAAAATTAAGAAGTTTAACGCTCGAAATGTGAACCGTCTCACATAAATTGGGACAGAGGAAGTTTTAACTCAGCTTTACCCACTATAACTGCATGTAAGTCACTAAATTATTTTTTATCAGATTAAATAAACTCTTTAATGAACTTCAAGCGCAATAATAGTAATGCCACTATAATTATAAAGTCGCTTTGATGGATGTTGTTATAGTTGGTAAAATTTAGTAGCTTTACTGTTGTAGTAGATAAAGTATAAATCTTTTAAATATGACAAAAATTAGTTTGTGACTTTACTGTTATAGTAGATAATGTTCCGTGACCATACCCTTATATACACACATTTTAAACCCTTGATGCAAAGAATTGTGAAGCAACTTACATGGCTAAAATTGTCAAGAAAATGGCTGAGAGAATAAGGCAGAGATAGTAGTGTTCATTGTGACAAGTTGATCTCTTTTTGAGGTTTCTGTTCTTTCTTTTGCAGCAAAAAGTTGAAGCAAGAAGAAATAGTCCATATCCTACGCCAAACAAGAGCCACACCACAGCAATGGCATAGCCATATATACCTGTAAAAATGGTTGACTGCACCAAATATTAAAATTCAGTTTCTTGAAATAAACTTGTTTCCTACATGATCCAATCTTCTAAGTTTCGTAGCTAATATCTCGAAATTTAACAAAGTTATTCACATAAGAATCAAAATGATGTACTAATAATTAAGTAATACTTATAAGTGAAATGACCAAAAGTTTAGAAAATAATTTTCCTATTCGATTTTATCATAGCAATAAATGTAGTTCATTATGACGGCATCTCTACTTTTACTAGGTAAAGGTAAGGTCTGCATACATATTACCCTCCTCAAACTCCACTTGTGGGAATATACTAGTTTATTATTATTGTTGTTGATAAATGTAGTTTAAAAAATGGAATGACAATTCAAAAATAAGTAGCAGGATAGTATATCCTAAATAATTGTAAAAAATGATTTTCGTAAAATATAAAAATTGATATAGTATTTCAAATGTAAAGAAAAATCAATAGCTAAATTTAAAAGTAAAATAATATTTTAGGTGACATGTTAGAAGAAAAAGTTAGTCTTAAACTCTTTTACACTATATAACCTGTCCCTATTATAACAAGTTAAATCATATTAATAGTGTAAATATGTTTTAACTAACTGGAGACGCTAACTTACACTCCAATAATGTTTCTCCGTAATGTCATATCCTCCTCTGTATTTCTTGAAATTGTCCAAAGGATCAATCCTCACAGTATCATCTGATTGCTGCATGGATCCTGACCCATTCTCTATTTCAACCAATTCCTTTTCTGCAAAATTTAAAAATCATTTTGCATAAAAAATGAGAAGAAAATAAAAATATATAAAAGTCAAGAACGATCAATTTCTTATGCGTATCCTAGCACACTTTCAGCTAGCTAGGACATAAATTGCAGAAATGAACAACGTTTAATTGATATGCAAGGTTTGCAATAGCGCCGTTAAATATTTCCAAACTCTCGTATTCCTATATTCCTAATTTTATGATGATAAATTATAATATACCCCAATGGGAAAAGTAGGCTAAGGTTTTGAATATTTATTTACATCTCAGTATCGTGCGATTAAAATGTACTTTCTTTCTAAGCTACGCTTTTTGAATTCAAATGTCACAAAATGTTTAATTATATTTTAAAAACCATTGTCTCTGGGTTTTAATTATTTTAAAAAGAGTTTATGTTTTATACACTTTAAAAATATTTACATAATTATATCATTTATAAAGTAATCATAAGTAAATCTGTACGATAAAAATTCATAAAATAATAACTAATCAGTTGATATAACGTGTTAAATTATAATGACAATGTAATATTATACTATCAGTATATATAACGTAAATCTTTTTAAATATATGTCTGTATTGTAGTAAATTGCAAAAATAAATATTTTTAATTTAAATCTTATAAACTAATCATTAATAATTGCAAGTTCAGAATTGATGAAAACCGAACCTAACTTTATCTCTTCTTCTCTTTTTTGTAGCAATCAAGGTACACTGTAGCCCCAATCTACTATCATCTTCTCTTTTCCTTTCAATTTACGTGACTAGTTTGATTCCGCACATATTTTTTCTTTTAAAAAGATTTTTAAAATTTATAGTTTTAAACATATTATAATATTTTTGTGGTTATAAAATATAGGTATTAAATATTTTATAATATATATGTAGATTCTCATTAAGGATTAAATTAGTAAAATAAAAAGGTTTAAAAGTTAAATTATTTTTAAATATAAAATTATATGGTTCTTTTAAAAACAAACTAATAAGGGAAGTTACAAGAAGAAAAGGAAGAGAAATTAAATGGCTCTCACTTCTCACCTAGTTTAATTATTTGACCATCAAGACTACTTAAGTTCAAGGAAATGAAGATAGCAAGCAGTAGTAGGGATATCGCCACTTTCCTCCTTTGTATCCATTCCATCTTCTAACTTCTAACCTGTCAACTGCCAATTAACCATTTATTGCCACAAAGACTAATTAATTTGACTTTTATTTCAAGAAACACACGGAGACAAACAAAAAGAAAGAAAGAAAAAAGATGGAGCACGTCACTTGTACTAAATTGGGCTTCTAAAGATGGAATTGAAGTATTTCTTATATATAAGAATAATGATATGATCATTCTTAATACAAAAAATATATTATAACAATTCTCATACTAGTGTTAGAATAAGCTACAATTGGAAAACCAAATATGGTCCTGAGCCGAGTGTTTTTTGGAAACAGTATTACTATCCTCCCAAAATAAAGATAAGGTTTGCGTAACACACTATTCTTTTCAGACCCTATGGCGTGGGATAATATTGGGTATGTTATTACTGTTGGAAATAACATAATAAAGGCCAGAAAAGAAAAAGAAGAAAGAAAGAAAAGAAAATGAAATTGTAGTATCATTAATTCCTTCTCTTTCTTCCACCTAGCTGCTCATAGGACCGATACTACTACACTAACCTACCCGGCCCCCACTGCCCACACAATCCCATCCCACCTCACGCCCAACGCAAATAGATAACCAAATATTATCTCTGTATTAATATATGTAGCCGAGTTTATACTCGATATCATAAAGTGTGCTATTAAGAGTACAATAAAAAATTAAAAGTTTTCAAATATAAAAACTATTCTTTTTTTTAAACATATATAAAAAATAATAATGAAACATCGCAAATATTAGACTCAAGTACAAATCTCTTTCACGTATACATACATATTATAATAAAATCTTGAAAGCTAGCTAACAAGAGATCATAGGAAGGGAGAGGGGAATAAAGAGGGAGTTACCAAAAAACCAAAAAGGAATTTAAAATCTAAACTCATATTCAGGTAAAAAAAAAAAATATTTTCAGACTTATTCATAAAGGAGAAGGATATCTGGAGTTTTTAGGTAATTTTCTTCACGTACGAGCTGTACATGTTAACCAAAATTTTCAACCATTTTAGAGTAATTTTGATGTCCAACTAATCTTTGAAAATGGTTAATCAGAATCCTATAAATAAGAAGAGACAACAAAACAAGAAAAAGAAATCTAAGAAAGAATTGTCACCTGAGAAACAAAAACTCTATGTCTGGCTTTCTTCTTCAGCTGGCACTGTACTTTCTTCGTCTATACACAACTCAAGGAGATGGTCAAGCTTCTTGTTTTTTGAAGGTGAAGATGATATATATATATATATATATATAAATATATTTAACTTGCAATATTATAGAAAATTCTTCATATCGGTCCAAGGATAGAAACTTTTCTAGATAGCTTCTTATGTAGAGAAAAGGGAAAGTTCAGTTTCACACGAAGAAAACAGATAGTCTTTATTTATTTATTAAATATAAACAGCAGCCTCTCTCTATCTTCAACCCCCTTTTCTCTACTTTGAATAACAAACATATCGAGAATGTTTAGAACTTTCAAAGTAATTTCCCCCTTTTGCTGCTCCGAGAACAACTTTAAATTTAAAAAGTTACTTATAATATTATTAATTAAGTAATAATAATAAATAAGTTTTAAAATGAAAAAAATAAACATGGATAAAAGCATCCCTAATCTGTCTATAAAACATTTTTATATGATGCATATACAGAAGGGATTTGGTTATTTATCAATCACTAGCTAGTTTGACAGAAACTTCTTAATTAGTTCCTATTCCTAAATTAATTATAATTCCTAGATTTTAATTTATATGATATTTTTTCCTTTTTAACATGTTAAAAAAGGAACGGCATGTTTTTATATTGGAAAATTCTTAAATTCTAATATTTTTATATTTTTTCATTAATGGCAATCTCTTAATCATGACATGAAAGGTTTATAAAAAATTTATATTTTTTCATTAATGGCAATTTTTATAAAATTTGTGCTTAATCAAACATTAACACATAAAATGAAACAGGTAGAGTAATATTTTCTGAATGACTATTGCTTCATTTAAGAAAAATACTAAATTCAATTCTTTCCATTAGCTAGTCAAAAAGAAACAAAGTCATTTCATGGTCAAGGGAATGACCTTTTGGACATGGGCTACGTTCAAAACATTATTGTTAGTTTATCTGTTGGATTTTAAATTATATATACCGACCGTGTTTAGAAAATTTACACTATTGATGCCTTTTAATATGTAGTAGCAGGTTAGATATTATTTTTATTAAGTTATATCATAAATTTTACTTACAATTACCTTATAAATGATTTGATTGTGTAAATAACTTTTTCACGATTCGTTCATATAAATTAAACTCTTATTTATTTGGTATGGGAAAATTATTTGGTGTTTAGGAAAACGTGTGTAAGCTGGTATGGGAATGTGTCATGTGTCAAATCGAATTCAGGTATTTCAGCAAGTTTGATAATTTGTTTCTAAATTAACCAACTAAGAAGTATCAATGTCTAGTTAAAATATGCACAAGATATGCGTCAGTGCGAAGGTCTAGAGGCACTTTTGACATGTTTGTTGACTATTTTCGTCAAATAAAACACGTAGTCAGAGAAATACAACGACCCATTAGTGTGGGCTTCATTTGGTCCCACACATTTATTAAGGGGGAAAATTATTTCTCATTCTAAAATCTAAATGTGTGAAAATAAGAAGAATTTTAAGAAGATTAATCCAACTAGCTGTTCACTTATCCGTTTAAATTTAAAATAACTGATTGATATACAATATATTGCTAAATTATGTATAATATATGTATAATGAGTATATTATTTATGTGTAGTGGCTAAAAAATAAATAGTGAATTTAAAGGGCTATTTGTAGAAAGATCCCAATTTTTTTTTTTTTAACATAAGAATTTGAACATTAATCTCCTCTTCTATTTTCAGGTTGCCATCATTGACGGATGAATTCAAGAGACAACACATGAGTTAACCTTTTAGATTATACATCTGTCATTCTTTTCTTTTTTAAATTTTTTTCTTCCTTTTCATAAAATTGATTAACTTGACTTCTTGTTATCTCTTCTGATTTTTCATCTTAAATGTTCTACGTACAATTAGCATATCCTATCTTGTTCTGATTGTCATTCTTAATAGATTCACAATATAATGAAAGCCTTTATTTAAGTAACTAGTATCTATGAACGAGCGTTGCACGTTAATAATGACACGTGATGACGTAAATATTTATTTATGTGAAGGGACAATAAAATTTAATTAATGTGAGAAATTTTATATATAATAGTACAACAATTATCTAAATGCCGGAAAATATTATTACATTAGCATAATACATAAATTTAAAATAAAAGGACATCATCAAACTTACACAAATGATCAATTTTGTCATGTTAGTTAGATTATTATGTATTATAGTGTAAAAATATTTAATGTGATAGTATCTTGACGAACACTTCTTTGTGGACAATATTTTTGTGTGTATATTTCCTCCTAATGCTTTGGTTGCTCTGCCTTAACCAATACTCTTGTTGTCAATTTTGATATCCCTCTTGAAAGTGTACTAAACAGTTATTCATGCAAGAAAACATATTGCGGTAAGTCCAATATTTAGGATGTTTGCCCTCATGCTTTATTTGTTAAATTTACAAAACAAAACATACTAGAAATTATTTTCACACAAATTTTGTTCCTTTGTTTCGGAAGACGAAAGTGGAATCCAAGGATAAGAATATACTTAGAAGCACAATGACAAGTATCACAATTTTTGAGTGTATACATTATAGTCAAAACTTCTATATATCATATGTGTGCTATTACATAAGCTATTCGACGTATCTAAGTTTTTTAGTAGCGTCACAATTTTTTTTTTTAAATTAACCTATATACAATGGAAGATCGACTTTAACTTAGTCTATTATATATACTGTGACATTAACATACATAAGAAATAATAAACTCGACAACAAACATGTATGGTAGATGGCCATTTGGTATTAAAGTATTTAAGTATTCTTCTTGGTAGTAAGTATTGGTATCATTCTCTACTGAGTCAAAAACTGAAAAATATTTAATTTTTCTTAAAAAATTTTGCAATCAACCTTTTATTTAGTTGATCAACATATTTATTTTTGCTACCTAAGATATCTTTTTAATTCTATCATCTGATTTGCACAAATTACGTTTTAATCTAATGATAGAAATATTTTTCTTATTAAACGCACTACTATTACCATTGGGATTGATAACCAAGTGTTAAGGAAAAAGCAAATCATTTTTTTATTGGATGCTCTTCTTCTTTTTCGACACGACGCAAGAAGACGCTGAATGTTGGATCTGCTCTTACTTTATATTTCTTGTGAGTTGAATCTTTTTCATTTGAGGCCGGAAGTATAACTTTGGCAAGTTAGCTTTTACAGTCTCCGCTTTTGCCGATTTTGGAACTATTGGTAGTACTTGACATAAATAAGAACTCTACGCAATTATTTTGATCGTTTGACACTTTGCCATAAGTGCTTTATCCCATATTATCAATTTAGTTTTCCTTATAAATTTAGCACCATTGCTCTGCTTTGATATATTTGTGATGGTTATTTAAGTTGTTTGAAGTGTTGTTGGTACACCACTTGCTATTATTGCTAACAATTGTCATGCCTCTTGGTATGATATTTGCAAGTAATGCATGACATATAAATATTATTTCGATTCCGCCGCAGGCATCTACAAAGAATAATCCCGTTGTAGCAGAGTCGACTCTTTGTAGTATAGTTTTGAAAGCTTGTCCTTGTTTAGGATTTAGCTTTGACTGTGCTTCCTTAGTCACTTGTATAACATTTTGATTCTTAATAATATTCTAACCTTTTTACTTTGTGTTCTAACACTTATTTTATGGAATAAATTTATTTATCTGAAGATTTATTTTTAACTTAAATAAGAATTTTACTCATACAATGAATTTAAAAAATAATTGAATTGGATCCTCTTGCTAAATAATTAATTAAAAAATTTAATTATTTGGTTTTAACATAAAAAATAATTTATTCCATGTTGATTCAGATCTTAATATTAGTTCATCTCTTATTTAAATATTTAGTCTTAATTACAATTTTCTCCACTTTAAATTTTATTTTCAAAGAGTAGAAGATTGATATGACATTTCACTTTTAGATCTTTATGTTTGTAGAATCATTGGTGGTATTGATTCTTATCAACCATATTTTTTCTTTCTCACACATTTATATTCTTAAATATTTTCTTAGTTGTTGTTGAATAATTGAGTATTTTCAATATTACACGAAAAATTAATAAAAATTATTATTTGAGTAGGAAAATAGTTCAAATATAATATAAAAATATATTATTGTGGAGGTACTTTTTTTCTCAATTTCAACTCTTTATACAGTCTATTTAATATTATTTTTATATTTTTTGGATATTGGATATTATGGAGTGGTAATCTATTGCCAATTGAAGGATTCTTATGAAACTGATTTTATTAAACCTTTCTAAATATTTTTAAAAAGAATTTAATAGATAAAATTTTATCAATTTTAAAATCTTGAATATTAAAAATTAGCAAAGAAGGTATTGTAGTCCAAAAAATAGGTTATTACAGTTATGTCTTTTCCCTATGAGTTCTTCCGCTTAATATTTTAGGGCTATTTTGATATATTAATATTGTATTTATGCTTTTATAATAAAATCGACTCTCCGGCCTTTTCTAGATGAATTTGGACAATATAATATATTCTCAATTTAAATTAGTAATTGGACATTATAATACATTTCGAATTAAATTAGTAATAGAATTTTTTAAGAAGTATATCCTAAAAGTAATAGGATTACATGACTAAAGATATTTAGTTGTTCAATTTTATATAAGTTAGACAGCCCAAAAGTAATTATACTAATATGATTCTTAAAGATAATCACGTAGGATTCCTAATTTATAGTATTATGTCCTAAAACTAATAGGATTATAAGGTTAATATCTAGAATTTCGATTATGTCCTTTTATTATGAGTTATTATGCTTAATATTATAAGGTTATTTTTGTAAACCGATATTGTATTCATGCTTTAATAATAATATAGATTGTTATATTAGCTAGTTTTATAAGTGCATTGAGTAGTGGAGTTTCCGCTCGTTGCTTTTCAACTTGTAGCTAAAATTTAAGTTTTGATAGGCATCAATAACTTATTCATTAAATGTTACTACTATTTTTCATCTTTTACGTTATTACTGTTGGTTTTCCAAGCACACGCAAGTATACATAGCCGTTAAATAATAAAGTGACTCAAAAATCGGATGTCGATCCGACAGAGACTTAGAATAATTATTAATAAGCTAACTAAAATAATTATCCAAGGTAATCAAAAGT